GGCATGGACAGCTTGAAATTTCCATAACATTTCTGATGCTGAGTCTTTCTGCATAGAGAAAAGTGTTCTTTCTGGGACATCTCCAACACCTCAGTGGCTAAGAATCTGCCTTGCTTTTCTCTATCTGGTAGAATAAAACCCTCAGAGGTCCAGGCTTCCTTCCCAGGAGATCCTGTGGAAGGTCAGAAGGAAAAGCATAGGTACAGAAGCTTGGAGACAGGGAGACCTGGGTGCAAATCTTGGATCTGCTACTTGCCAGGTAACCCTAGGCAGGCACATTCACCTAAATCTCTGTCACCTTGTCCATAAAAGAGGGGGTATAGCTAAGAGGATAGCTTAATGGTAGAGTACTTGCTTAGCCTGGGTGAAACTTTGGGTTAGACCTCCAGCATTGCAAAACAAACAAACAAAAAACAACAGATGAGAAGGCAAGCAGGTCTTGGCAAACAGGACTCAATGAACAATGATGATGATTATAATAGTAATAGCAGCTCTAAGTGCTTCTGAGCTGGATGGTAGCTTATCTTGAAAATCCCTGAGATCTCCGCCCTAGTCCTATGCTTCCCATACCATCTTCCTCAGTTTTGCCCACATTGCTGAGAACAGTCTGAGCAGGAACCACTAACCTCACCTGGCACCTCCTATCCTACTTAACAGGGGTGACATCACATCACAGCACACAAAGATAACTAATTGGTTCTCATAGCACTTTCCATCCCTTGTTCCCTGGGATCCAGGCTGTGAGGTAAATTTCCTTCCCATTTTTACAGAGGACATAACTGGGGCTGAGTGAGGGTGGGTAGTCTGGGCAAAGGATTTGATTTGGAATCTCTTGTGCATTCCTCATATCACCTCAGTCCCAAACCATACTTTGGGGTGCTGAGAGAAGGATGGATGCTTTTTCTAGGTATGGCTGAAAAGTCTTCAGCACACCGTTTTCAGGCACTGTGAATGCAAGCAGGTACATACTATGAAATTCAGCATCTGGGACTGTTCAGAGACCATGGCAGACCACCCTCATGCTGAGAAGAGGTAGGAGGTAGAGGGGACAGTGAGTCAGAGGAAGAGGAGGTCTGGATTCTGGCCATAGGTCAACCACTGGCATCCCAAGTAGTCTTGGGCAAGTTTCTGAGGTTCCCTTGATCCTCAAGTCTGCAACGTAAGTGGGAAAAGATAGCTAGCTAGATTGATAGAAGCCCAGTCTAGGCCAAAAAAAAAAAAAAGAGAGAGAGAAAGAAAAGAAAGGAAAAAGAAAAAAAAGACATCTGCGATTTTCATCATCGTTACTTTCACTTTGAAATCAATAGCTCAGAGACTCCACTACCACTTCATTTTAAACTTTTAAAGACAAAACAATATAACTTAATAGTTCTGCCAACTCCTCAAAAAAAGAAAAATCAGACAGCACAACACTGAATCTTTTTCTTTCTTTTTGAATTTTGGCAGAGGAAGATTCTGTTCCTGGAAATGGTTACAAAATGATTCCTGACACTGGGAGGAGATAGTTAAAAGGGGAAAAGGGGCGGGGTTGTATACATATATAGATAAAGGAGGAAGGTGGAAAGAAAATGAATAAACAGAAGAACAGGAGAGAGAGAGAGAGAGAGAGAGAGAGAGAGAGAGAGAGAGAG